CCAACCAATACCCAAAATGCTTAACCGTACGTTAAACAAATGCGAGGCCGCTTAAGCCATAAGCATAGCAGAAAATATAAGCAGATAATCCTTGAGAGATGAAGAACAAGACAGCAAATCAGTTATATCGTCTTTTTCTTCCTTATTTTTATATGAAAAGCCAATGGATAGCAGAATGTACAACTGACTGTAAATCTATACTGTACTGCTAAAGTTCAATTGTTAGAGCCAAGGGGAAAACTGTAACTATCCTCAAGAATTTTAGTAATGATAAGGGGAAAACTGTAATGTTTCTGACCAGCGCATGACATTGTGAAAAAACAGGTTTTTATTTCAGCAGATTGAAGAGCCTCCTCCGCCACTTGAGCTTTGATTTCTGCCAAAACTTTGACATGGACTTTAGTCTCCTTCTCGCGACATAGACGGACCGCTCTTTCAAGATTGTATGATGCGGGAAGGTCATGAAGTTGATATAAACCAAACCTCCGCTCATCTTTTCTGAAAGTTGAGCAGTTTGACTGAAAAGGCAAAGACACCAAAGAAAAGGATGCAAAAGCCAACAAGCACAGCTGCTGAAACTCCAATCATCCCAGGACCATAGCCAAGACTGACTTCCAAATACTCCTTCACAGTGCCCTGAAATGTGCCTTCCATCTTGGTCTCCACATCACCAAGTTGCGAGGTGATAATACCTCGAAGTGTCCATGCAACAGGGCAGATGTAGTAAAACCAAATCCACCATCCTGGGATATGCTGAAATGAATTTTGTAGAAAAACCAAAGGTTGGTTAACCAGTGGGGAAAAGAAAAAATAGGTTTTCTTTTTTTAAACAAAGGTACGAAAAATCAGACAACTTACTGGCTTTGGGACGAGAAACCCGGAGAGGAGGTTCCACAAAGAATAGAAAGCAGAAGAAATGACAGCGGCCAGGTGTGGAGAAGGTGTGAGACCAACAGCCGCCATACCATAGAAGGTAAAGTAGGTGAATGTGAGGAACATGAACACAATGTAGAGCAAAAATTTTCCTGCAACAGAGAACCAAGCCGAAAATGTAATTTGAATTTTGAGTTGAAGTTTTCACTCACAGACTAAGAAAACAGTATCAGGTTATCATCTATTCCTTATCTTTTCCTTTTCCTCTTCTCTTCATTTTATAGATGAGAAACAGTATTGTAGGTAAGTCAGTCCCGCCTACGGAGTCTCTGCAGCTGTACTTGTTGGCTTTTACATCCTTTTCTTTGGTGTCTTTGCCCTTGTTGCTCAACATTCAGAAAAGATGAGTGGATGGTTGGGTTACATCAACTTCAAAACCTTTCCACTCCAGATTGTATGATGCGGAAAGGTCATGAAGTTGATATAAACCAACCGTCCAGTCATCTTTTCAGAAAGTTGAGCAATTTGACTGAGAAGGCAAAGACACCAAAGAGAAGGAAGCAAAAGCCAACCAGCATAGCTGCTGAAACTCCAATCCCTAGGCCTTAGCCAAGACTGACTTCCACTCGTTCAGCGAATCCTCAAGTGTACAAGGTGTACAAGAATGTCTACAAACTTTTGCCGCAAAATATATTTTTAAGAGTCTTTTTAGAGAATAATGGAGAAGCAATGTAGGGAGAACTTGTTGGAATTGGATATGAAAATCTGCAGACGTTCCTACTCTATTTATAGAGATTCCTGCTCTCATAGATGAAAATTATCTTGTTGTAAGCAATGAAGTGTGAGCTAAACCAACCACTTATATAAAAACCTAATCAAACCAAACTAAAAAGGAAAGATGATTACACCTTAGCCCAACCTATCTTCATAGTGTTGCCATGAATAGAAATAGGAGGCATTGGCTTAGGCTATATTGGTATGAACCGGGAAAACATCCCTTTCTTGGTGAACTCTTTAAAACCTAAAGACCATATGATTTATCTTACATTAACCAGTTCATGGATCTGGAACACATGAGAAGAGAGAAAAATATTACTGTAATATCCCAGGATTTGTTCTTCCAAGATTTTCTTTAAGTAAATTCTATGAACAGTCCATAGGCATTGATTGTATTCTGTGCAATAATTTTGGGGCAGTTGAAGCAATATGAAAAGGAAAAATGGATGCTCAGCAAGCAACCTATAAAATCTACATGCTTCTTAAATTCTGGCCAGAGATATTATGTATAAGGTAAACCTATATCTAGCTTTAAAATAGTACTCTTCACACCCTAGTTCAACAAAGAAAGAACAGAACATTAATGATATTATCACGGTTAAGGAAGAAATCAATTTGAAATAACACAAAGTGTATCAAAAGGAAACATTAGAAATCTTACGAAGTGTCCTTTCGAAGTTAACCATGAAGTAAGTGATGATGCCATATACTATTGTCTGTACAGCAATGTATGGGATCTCTACAACGCCCTGCTTGTCGAGAAGGCAAAGAAGTTATTTATATCACCTGTTCTTTCCTTAAATGCGCTTTGCTAATGTTTCCAGTATAATGGCACTTACCTGGGCTGATGCATACGCTAATGGAGAATACATTCCAGCTGCTTTCTCTCGATAGAACACTGTCCTCTCAATTGAAACAATTGGTTGCACTGAAGAAGCATTATTGACCCCAAGAAACAAGCAAGCAGAATAAAGAGCTCCCATAACCATCATTAGTGCTTGAGCTGAGTCCCTATGGAATATTTATAGATTCAATTGTTCATAACTTTGTTAAGAAAATTGCAATAAAGGGGGAAAAATTATTGACCTCATGTTACCATTGTCATATATGTGACATGTAAAGTTAAAAATCTAGGAATTCTTATTTCTTTGACTTTTGTCAAATCATGAATACTATAATAGGCTCATCATCTGGTCTTCCTCAACTTCAACACTCATATATTTTAATAAAGATTGCTACCAAATACTTCCAAGGGATCCATATCGAAGAATTTGCCTCCCCAAAATGTTAACAATGCTCTTAAGATCTAGGATCTATCCTTGAAGGACATTCATCATTCCCAGCTAATTATTATCAAGTATGCTTTGATGTAGAAACTTCAAAACTATGAGATATACCAAACATCCAACTCAACAGGCCGGTGAGTAATATGCGATTACAGTAAAATGAGCTCACAGTCAAACAAATTTCAAAACTTACTATAACATATATGATATGTACCTTTTTTTACCAATGTCCCAAAATGCCGAGCCAAATATCAATGCACTGATTGTCGTAAAGATTAACCTCATCGAATTATATTGTGGACTTCTCCAATATACAAGATTTTGTTTCCATAAGCAGATCCAAAACTGAGACAGCGTGTTTTGAGAATACTTGGAAGCAAACTTTAATGGTTCTGAGTCAGCTGGGGGAGTACTAAATTGCTTGATGGACTCTTCCACTTCCCTGAAACAAGGAGGTCAAGACACTTATTAAACACTACTAATAACAAAATAATTGTAAGAATCAGTTCCCATTAAAGTTATTAACAATAATGAATAAAGAACTAGACAGAACCAGCAGAGGTCTTGGTCAGACTACAAGCACAACATGAAACTAAAGTACCTGTATTGCTCTGAATTTC